TTGCAACTGTTTATTTAGTACGATTTTGAAACATTTGCAAAATAATTTTGGGGACAAACTTTTGTCTAGTGAGTGTACGTTGTTTACGATAATCACGTTCTAGGCAATATCAATATTGTCTACGATGCAATTATTCTTAGCAAAATCATTGGGTAATTAATTGTATTTGTATTCACTAAAACGGTAAAGATTATCCCTCAAAAAAAAAAAAAAATAATTACGTGTTCCGACTTATCGAGAGTCATTTGTTATAACGCGAGTGAAAGGTTGTCCGACTTATGGGTTGATCGCGATTTTATATTTGTGTCCGACTTATCGAATTTTTTTAAATATTGAAAAAGAGATTTGTCCGAGTTAAGCCAAATCCGACTATCGAGAGTGGATATGTAGTATGCCATTGTCAAGATTTGCGGCCTTGTACTCCCAAACTGACTAATTCGGACTAATGCGTAAAGGTGCAATCTGTGTTATGTGACATTTTGTATGGCGTATTCCATTTAATTGATGGCGTATAATGACTAATTGTCCAATACAATTATGAGTTCTGTGTTGTCAGGAATGAAAGATTTACGTCAGATAAGAAAAGAAAGCAAGTTGATGCTATTTGGGGTGAAAAGACGAATACAGTGGGCTCGAGAACATCAAGAGTAAACTGCTAAATAATTGAAAAAAATAACATGTCTGATAGGTGGGCTGAGGTTTTTGCATTCAATGGTAAGCTTTTTTGCGTTTTTTGAATAAATGTAAATTTTTGTAGCTTTTTTATGTAAATTAAATTTTTAAACAATTTTAAACTTTAGGTTGCGCAACTTTGGATATTAGTCTTTTCTGCGACAAAAAGGGCTTATATAATAATTTTGTTATATGACTGACTGACACATTACAATTTTTGTAAATAAGTTGTTCAATATATGCGTTAACGTTAGTATTAAATTTATGATAATTCCATCACTCGTTATGTCAATATTTACATTTGATTGCAGATTTAAGGTAATCGATGACTACCGAATAGTACCATAGATTCAAAATTCGATTCACAATAAAGAAGCAAAATATTCGGGCAACACTTGATAGATCAAACAGTGCTTTGTTAAATGAGTGTAGATTTTTATACAAATTAACTTTATTTGTTTTTTAAATATTCGAGTTGCATAACCTAATTTACCCGTCCTTGGTAGGTAAACGCCGGCTCTAGGTAAATCTGGAACTTTATTACTTAACATGTGCAATTCTTGTGTATATATTACCAATAATTTGCGCTAAATTCAATATTAATTTTGGAGTAATCGCAAACGCTCTCATTTAACTGCAAAAACAGCTTAAACTGGGCTTTAGCGAGCACCTTGTTGTGAATAAAAGTTCCTCGCGATACTCATTTAACTGCAAATGTACTGGTTTGTCGGAGACTTTTGAGACAACACTACATTAGTTTGGTCATGTGCACGGGAAATACTGGAATAGCGATAGGGAGTTTTCGGAAGACAACATCAAGCCTCAATATTGAATGTCGCGCTTAACATTTTAGGGCAGTGTTCCCGTAAAGAGTCGTCCAGCAAAATATGTTTTATTACACGTAAGATTCCTGCTTCCCCAAATATCGGAAGAAATGTTCTTACTGGAAAAAAGTCAATATCTCCCCAATAGAATGCTGGAATAATAGCACTTTTTTTTAAAAATTACGTTACATGTTCATTTTTGTCTGGTTTTGTCGCAATACGCTTCAAATAATAAAACAATTTGCTAGTTGTGATGATAGATAAACATGAAGCAACCGTATTGCTCGATCGAACGGTGACATTACTAACGGAGGCTACAGTTCCGACCAGTTTCTCTGTTAAAGGCTTTACAATATACTGGATAAACAATTACTCTCGATAAAATGATTCCCCGATAAGATAAAGTTGGCCAAATATGGTGTTTTCCCCGGAGAACCCAAGTCAGTCATAATAAAATTGAGTTTGATTTAACGATAATACTTATCGTTATAATTTTGCGATATAACGTTATGATGTTGTTGTGCGATGCATATAGAACCAAGTATAGTAAACGATCTCGATACAACGAAGTGCAATAATCGTTACTATCACTGTAGTTGGTAAATCGTTTATCGAGCAGAACATCATAATATTAAATTAAACCAATTAAATTAAACCAATTATCAAGATTTCGATATTATCTTTAACTCGTTCGCAACAGCTAAAAGCATGAACAATAAAAAGTATAATCAGTGAAATACCTGATCAACCCTATTGTCTAAAGCGGGTGAGGCAGTTTTTAGGATTGTCAAGAGCTCGGTAACGGGTATGAGCTAGTCACTTATGAATAAACCCCTGATCTTCAATCGTTCGAGGTGCACGGGTTTAGATTCTTTTCTAAAATAGAAATAGTAAAAAAATCTTCGCTTAATATAACGATTTTTACGTGACTCAAATATAATATTCGTTATAGTAAGATCTTTATGTCGTAATGATCTTTCGATAATATGAACAATTTGAGCCAGCCCGATGACCTCAGCTTATCAAGAGTGACTGTGTATCATAAAAGTCGTGTAGTACTCTGCTATTTGCAATTTTATTGGTAAGTTTAAATACAATTTTATATATCGCTAGACTTGAACCTATACCATAAGCAATTATCGAAAAAGGGTCCGTATCATAACATCCACGGTTATTTCGCTGACGTAATGTTCGGACAATAACAGTTTCACCGCCGACAGTCAGTTTCCAAAAAAGAAAATGTTTGATTGTCGATGAAATGATTGTCGATGAGAACCTGTCGGTGAAATGATTGTCGATGTTATGATATGCGCTCCCACTTTTAAGACCCTGTAAATTCTTTATCAAGGGATGCGTTAATTATTTTGTTCGCATATACGCGCATTTACCATTGGCGAGGCCTACAGTCGCATCGTGGCTAGTCTCTATCTTTGAGTATTAGTATGTCGCTCGCAGATCATTTGTTATTGTAAATGATATCATTGGCAGATGGTAACGTGGAGGGTCTATCTTGAGAATCTCCCATGATCGCCCATCACATGGACACCCATTTACGTTTTTTTGGAGCCATGGTTTGTTTTCGTTCAAGATCGACTGACTATGAATATCTGTTATATATTTGGTAGAATGGCATATTAATATAGTACCTTTTTGTTAGCACCCGTTATCGAGAGATTGCTAACAATCCGTCATCATGAGCCAATTTTATTGGTTATTGGTGTTCCGTGAAAAATCTTCGTACTATGCAATATCGAGTTTCACTATCTAATATCTTTTATCGGCTCGAGATTATTATCTGTGTGAGGTATGACAATCGTTCGGGATGTGTGCAAACGCACATTTACGCCTATCAATAACGTAAACGCTTGCTACTAACAAAATCTTGTAGCGCTTGTTGCTTACTTTCGAACGAATATAATTTCAGACTTTACGACGCAACGCTCCATTTTTCTAGCTTTTGTTACGCGAGAACGAGTATATTGATCTTGATCTCTACTATTTACTTTAAACGCGCATGAAAACATGGGCATTTTGAGTAAATGCATATTTCTATCATCACATGCAGTGAGAATGAGACCCTTGATCGTCTTACCTATTTATGGTATTAATTTCCCAAGTTGTGAGCCCTTGTTAACCAGATGTCAAAAGAAAAGTGAGAACCTTTTTGTGCACATTTTACACTTATTCTTGTTACACTTCGGAATAACAGTAGATAACTGTAGACAATTATATCTTCCTGTATGACTCCACGTGCGGATAATACTACCTTTAAAAACCAGGGCAAGCTCTCGGATCATGTTTTCCTCCAGCAGCTCAAGTTATTGAGAATATTGCCATAACTGCAGTACCTGCTAAAGAGTTCCCTTATTATTGTCTTATTAACTAACTACTGTCATAACCCCTCCCCCCGCTTTTGATCTTTCAGCTCCTGAAGAATATATGCATTTACGGACACCGTATTCCTCTTTGAGACTCCTTATTATACTCACATCTATATTACTTCCTCTACCTGGTCTTTCAACAGCAATAAATGAAAGACATGTCCCGGATTCCAGCGAACCCCCTCTTGAAGAAGAAATGAGCATGACTGCATTTGGTTGGAAAGTCATTACTATAACCACCCTGGTATTATTGGGTGGTGTATTTGCCGGTGGGTTACGTTTTATGTTCTGGCGTGGCGCTTGATCAATTTGAATCACAGTCTTTCGCAATATTTCAATACTGTCGTCCCGATGCTGTAATGAAAATAATCGGCAATGAAATCATTGGGCAAAATCAAATGGGAGTCCAGCTTATGTCATCTTTTTGTCCTCAACTAATCAATTAAACAAACTTTTGCGTTTTCCCCCAATGGAATAATTTTTCCAATGTGCGTTATGGACATCCTATAAACATCGTCGCTGCGAATAGGGCTGACAATAGGTCTCATGGGAATGGATGAAACGAATCTGCAAGTACTAATCGTTTCCGGAAAGGTCAGCGAACAGAAGCATGCCGAGAAAGTACTGGCCCTTCTGCAACGAGGAAAACACTGGGTTCTTGTGACATTACTGTTGTCGAATGTCATCGTCAATGAGACCTTGCCTATCATCATGGATTCGGTCTTTGGTGGAGGATGGCCCGCCGTGTTGATGTCCACAGCGCTGATTGTGCTGTTTGGAGAGTATGTATAGTGGGGTCAGACTTTTAGCGTTTATTATTTTGTTGGGTGCTTTTTCATTGACCTTTTTTTTTTCCCTTTACAAACAGAATCATTCCGCAAGGTATGAATTTATTGATCATTAATGTGTTGCCAGAGCTCATATAGGATGACCAACGCTCGAGTTTTCTGATTTGATAGCTTTCTGTGTGCGATATGGACTGGTCATTGGAGCAAATTGTGCACGGTAGAATACAAAGGATGTTGCCTGCTTTGATTAGTTTTGAATGGTTTATCCTTACCTCTCTATCGGATCTACTAGGTTCGTTCTGCTATTGATGTATCTATTGTATCCGATTGCTCGTCCAATTGCGGAGTTGTTGGATTATTGCCTCGGTGAGCATCGTGGGACAATATACCGAAAGCCAGGTATGGTTATAGCGCCAGGAGTTGTATTCCTGGGAGGAGTAAGCTTTTTAACTTCCTTTACACTAGTAATATGCTGACATAATTTTATTGGCAGAATTGAAGACTTTCGTCTCTCTGCATAAGCATGAAGGCATCGGGAGTCTCACCGAAGATGAAGTGACAATGATTGGTTCCGTGTTGGAACTCAGCGAGAAACCTGTCTCTGTACTAGTTACCCCATTGGAGAATTTGTATATTTTGAGTGCTGACCATATTCTTGATCAGAAAACAGTAGATGAGGTATCAACTGAGTACGGGCAACAGTTGGATGTCATTTTTAGCTGATGTGCTGACATAATCAATTTCTTTAGATACTTTCCGCTGGATACTCTCGCATACCTGTGTATGAACCGCCTAATCCTACAAACTTCATTGGAATGCTTCTTGTAAAGAAGTTGATTAACTACGATTTCCGACAAGCATCTCCGGTTAGAGATTTTCCTCTCTGTTCTTTACCGGAAACTGCGCCAACTACAAGTTGTCTTGATATTCTAAAATTCTTCCAAGAAGGCAGAAGTATGTCTTAAGTGATGACATTGTGAGTAATACTTTATGCGTATATTAATCCTTTATTTGACAATGACTGGATATAGGTCATATGGTTGTTGTTTCTGAGGATCCGGGCGGTGAGGGTGGTGCTATCGGTGTCGTTACTTTGGAAGATATTATCGAGGAGTTGATTGGAGAGGTAAAATATATATTTACATATATATGTTGATGACATGATGTAAAGGCATTTTAAGCTGACTTAACTTTGTGGGCAGCAAATAATTGATGAAACAGACGTTTACGTTGATGGTTTGCAATTCTTTTTGATTGATATGTTCTGTGTTGCTCTTTCCATTGCCCATTCACAAAGACTTACTCGCGTTATTTTTGCATATTTAAGGTCGCAGCAAAATCAAAGTTATTCGACAACCACCGCACCAAATGCGTTCTCGTTTGTACCCATACGTACCCAGACAAAATGTAAATGCTCTTAGTCCAACTGATAGTACTTTAGTGCATATTACGCCGACCATATCAATAACCCATCCAGACACTGCAAATCAACGGCGTAATTGTGTGCCTAACGTTTATCTTGACTCACGATCTCCACGTCAGTCCGCTTACTCTGGCTCACGATCTCCACGTCAATACGCTTACAATGTACTGAACGCGTCGGCACGGAATAAGAAATCAAGGCCTATGTTGCCCAAAAGCTTCACGTCAGAAGAGTATACCATTAAACCGGATAGCTATGGTACAACGGATGACCACGCATCCAAGTTGTCGTTTAACGGAATGTATGACACAAAAGGAAATGGTCAAGGCGATAAGGGGAGTAACTATACCGTGATGAAAGAAGCGAGTTTTGGTGTTACCGAGGGAAGTCCTCTTCTTGGAAATAAGTAACAAAGGACTTATTGATGATTTAATTCAAATTTCAATTTACATGTAAATTATTCATTATAAGAAATAAACATTGGAATTTGATTGTGTAAGATTGTTGTAAAACTCCTGTCCTCCTGCTTGAGAATGAAGGGGATAAGATGAAAAAGGTTCACACAACTTTAATCAATTTCGTATCTAATATTTTATTGGTTAAAAATATTTGTCAATACAAGAAGGACGTTCAGTATCTTAATATTAAAGAAAACAATCTTGGCGAGTTTTATCAATTCGATACGATGCTGCAATGAGTCTGTATTTATTAAAGCACGTACATAAATACCTTGTCTAGCTGATCCGGACAGGTGAATATTTTTAACTTCAAATAAAAGCGGTACAATGATGGGCTTTATTTAACAGCTGCTTTTTTGCGCCAATTGCCAAGTTAACGCTATGCGCTAAATTTAGCTAGCTTTTGTATATTTAGTCCAGAATATTAATGATCTCTAAAACGTGACTCTACTGCGGATGCACTGAAGCAACGCTTGTGTAATCTAGATTGAGACCTGCGCACATGGGAAGTCGAAATAATACATTAATATCGGTATACGTAGCAGTTTTGTCTGTGTTAAAATAAGACATCGATGCTGATAGAAAAAGAACGACACAAACGCATGGAAAGGAAAAACTATGGATGTACTCAAATGCGAAAAATAAGGCATTAGAACCTTCCTATGATTAACGAAAATTAACGAAAACGCACGTAGAAACCAAAGAAGAGGAATTACTTTATTCAATGGGAATCTTGATTAAAAAAAAAGATGTCTTTATCTTGAGTAAAAGGTGGTGTTTGGTAAAGTCGTGGCAAAAAAAAGTTTAAATTAATATTAATATGACAGCGATAGTATGTAACAACTATTATAGAGTGTAGATCGGTATAATTAGCCATCAATGGGAAACGACATGTTCGTACGAAACAATCAAAAAGCTTTGTTGCGCAATGACAAATACGACAAACGTAAGCTGGGTAAAAATAATATTAAACAAAGAATAATATCAAAGATGGTTTTTTGGGGAGAACATAATTGCCTGTTCTGTTCCAAATTTGCAGCAGCCAATCAAAATCATAAAAAAAGGCTATAAAAGTGCTGATGGTTTTTTGGGGAGAAAACATGGCTTACATAATTGCCTGTTCTGTTCCAAATTTGCAGCGGCCAATCAAAATCAGTGATAATTGAAGAGTGTTCCTCCATTACACATATTATTCCGTTGTTTTTCTTTTCCCTCCAGACTTCAAGTGTTATTCTTTGCAAAAAAAAACAAAAACATATTTTCAAAAGCCATTATAAGTGTCTCTCGCAACACAATCTTTTATTTTTTTTTACACTTTTTAATAAAACTGTGGGAATGGGAACAAACGGACATTGCAACTTTGGTTCCGATCATGTAATTTTTAACCCGCCAATCAGGGGGCGACACGAAATGGAGCTAATATTATTAGTATAAACAGAAAAAGTTTTATGTTGAAATTACTTAAACGAGTGCTGAAAGAATGAAGGAAAATGTAAAATAAAAAACGTACATATAACGGTAAAGATGTACATGATGTTAATGCTAGCAATTTTTGTCTAAAATTGGTGACCACAATCCTGTCCTCAGACCTCTTTTCGGTGATAATTAGTCACGTATTTGAAAACACGCTTTATATGAAAATGAAAATTATTGCAAAATGTTGCATTTACATTATCAGTCTCCCAAACTATCTTAGACATATATTTCTCCATAATATGAGGATATGTGGTGGTAGTATTCTGCTGCTCAATCTGGGGATGTTAATTGCGTTTGCTTAGTTTTCCCACTGTGGTAGACATCTTCAGACCCTCTCGATTGTAGAGCCGCGTTAACCGTACGGAATTTAGTGGCCCAAGCTATCACGAATATTCGTCGATACCGGATGTATAGGAAAAGTGGCGAATACTGTTTGGTTTATACGTACGTAACAATCGTAAAACTACCGCATTATTCTTATTGGTAGTTTCAAGCTCCACCGTAGAGTTTCAACTAGTACGATTAGTAGCAATCATATCCGTATACTGTAGCTTGGGCAATTTACGCATAAGCGTTGTGTTGTGGTTAAAATTTGTAGTCAAGTTGATTATTTTCTGGAATGAGAATTTAGGTCATAGTCAACATCTTAGGCGTCAATCTAGAGCTCACTGGGTAGGTACAGTGTCACTCATTACTATAACATACCTTATATTAATATATATTTACTATGCAAGTCACAATATTTTGAAGCTGATTCATTGTATTTTCCGAAAAAGACAACGATGGGTTTTTTCATTACAGTTGCTCAAAATACATCCGCTCGATACTTTTTTCATCTGTGTTGGTTATAATCGGCGATGGCTGTAGACGTCGGAAATTTCCTAAAAGAATAACGATATAGCCAAACTCATTTTCACAGATATCTGTTATATTAATAATAACAATTTTCATACAAGAAATTATTAGGCCCGTTATAGCCTTTATGTCACTACATTCAAATTTATTATTATGTTTCACCTGCTTTATTGTTAATTGTGTACAAATTATTAGGTTTGGAGCGTTGATGCATATTCTTTAGCAAAGCAGTTGTATTAACTCGCACGCACAGAAAGAAAGAGATAGTTTTCAAAATCTGTTACGATGCACCATCATATGAACGAATCAAATGCATACTTCGGACATACCCACATCAGCGAACCAGCACGCCGACATGATTTCATGTGTAATCTGTAATCTGCATACTTTAATTGGGAGTGGGGGTCTAATATCAGCAGTTTTACAAAAACAGGTTCCAGTTCCTGTTTTATTTCATTTTATTTTTTTTTCACCTTTCAAATTTGGGTTGGATATCTAATTCAGGTAATTATAATAAAAATGAACACAACATCAGACTTACAGTATGTTCCGCATCAAAAACGGTGAACACAAGATAAGCATGAAAAATGTTACACACCCTACAGAGAACATCTAGATAAGAGGCTGATAATGTACAGTAACTATCAGCTGTTGATCACTTATTTTCGCCCCATTGCTAACAGTATATAACTTATTGAAATATAACAGGGGCTTTTTATCAATTTGTTACATCATAACAATCTGCTTAATTGAAGAACTGATAACAATTCAAAAAGTGTTTGATTATAATAAAGCGGTTTGATTTTATTTATTGTTATTACTTATTACCTAATGTTTATTAAGTTTGTCAATGTAAAATGTATATTTTAATTTCAATAATCAGAACAAGACTTGATCAAAATTTATTTGCTTTTTTTAAGACTATTGACTTCTCATATTGGATGGAATAATAAGGTATGCGTTCAGTCTTGATACGTGTATTAATAAGAAGCGAAAATATTTGGCAACTTGATTTTATTACACTGATGGATAAATTTGTGTTATTAATATTACGTATTGACAGGTTCGGCCACTTTTACTATGAACCATATGGAACTTCGCTATATCAATTAGTCAATCTCTGGCACTTCAATACTGGGCAAAATCCGATGTATGGGTGAATCGTTTATACCAATTTTCACTGTGTTTTAAGTTAATTAGTTTATTTTTAACAGAGATTATTAAAACGAAACAACAGCAGAAGAATAACGTTTTATTCAATTGGTTCTTTTGATTCTATCCTGTATATGCGTGTATCTGCTTTTGATAATTTGTTATGTCTTTATGTTGAATATTCCCTCAACTTGTTAATGAACAACTATATGTACGATATCGTAAATAAGCAGGAAAGTATGGATACTGCATGCATTACGTTTTGCAAAAAGCAAAAAATTATTCAGAAATCGGTTTCTTTAGAGCATCAAACAAGCCAAAGGAATCGTTGTTTTCGTTCAAAAAATTTTCTTCTAGAAATTTAGCATGACAATTCTCTCGTCAAGTTTTCTTTTTTTAATTTTAATTGATTCAGGCGACCGTTCTAGCGATTCTGGGTCATAATTTTTCCTAAACAACATATAGACAATGGTATATGGATCCAACATTCATCTACTTTGAACAACTCTCTAATGTTGCATTAACTCCATGCTTAGCTCTAAACAGTGGTTTAATGACTCATTCTCATTAAGTGGAGAAAAAAAAGTTCAAACTATCAGCTTCAATAAAATATCGTCAGAGAATTTACTTATTTCTTGCAATTTACCTAATCATATAGCAATGCGTTATCAGGTAACTCATGTGTTCTGTTACCGGGAGATGAACTAGCAGCCATTATTTATTACAAAAGAGTATTATTATAACCCGTGAGAAAGTCGGTTATTTAGCATAAAATTTAACTTCCAATTTTATCATGCATTTAGGTCGACAGAAGTTCTGGAATCAACCAAGTCGCACTTGGAAATTAGGTTCTTTACATTCCAAGTACTGCATGCCAGTTTTGAGCTCCACTGTCACGGACGCTAGTATTTCTCCGTAATTTCCAATTCTTGCGACGCCAATTAACGATAATTATGCGAAGTATTGTACTGCGTACTTGATGTCTTAATGCAAACAACGAAATTCATTATTGTAGTTTACTAAAATTAGGATAAATACCCTTTTAAATATAGTCATCAAAAAGATATCTATTCGTGCGAGAAGCTAAAACATATTTAAGCAACGCAAAATTTTCATCAACAACCTCGTTTTCAGATAATTTTCGTTCGCTTTATTTATTAAATTCGTTTTAACGGTAGTATTCTTATAATTGTTCTTTTTGGATGATGCTTTATATTCTAATGAAGCTTCTGACTAATAATTATATCATGCGGAAAAGTTTTCGGTTTAAACACGTTTCTGCCAATTAATAGAGTTCCTGTGCTGACGTACTAACATGCGATGGCAAAATTCGAATATGCAATACGGAGGGTCTGCGATTTAAACTCAAACCTTCTTTAAATACACACAGGAATAAAGCAACCAACAAATATAAATATAATAAAAATGTTACAGTCCCTGTTGCTGTATGTCATTGGGATTTATGTTGT